GTGTGCCTCATCAGAGTCTGGCTGGGGTGCCGAGTGCTTTATCGAGGCTCCTCCATCAGCGGCGAGAGCCCCCAGGGCTGCGGAAATTTCCCCGTCTTCTGTGTGAGGGCGATAGCTGTGCTGAGATAACCCCCGCCATCAGATACCCGGGTCCGGATCCCCACGCATCACTCCTGGCGAAAGACAAGGCAGCATGTCCTGTCCTCAATGGAGGGTGATGGCGAAGGGTCCCCTAAGGCCTGGGTTCCCCAGCCAGCCCCAAATTGGGATGCGGCAAGGAGAGGCCTCTCCAGCAGCTCCACTGGGGCTGGATTTGACCCCGCTCCAAGCTCTCTCGCTGCGAGACTAAACACTTGCTTAGCAAAGCTGCCGACAAGGGTCTCGGGGGACCACTGGGGATGTGTCATCCAGCTCCCGAGCCAGCCCCGAACTCCAGCGGTGTCACACAGCGAGTGGCTCCGCCGGGGGGTTTGGATCCGGCCCCCGCCCTCCCCCTGGCTCTTGCTGGCCCATGCCAAATCCCCCGCCGGGCACGGAGGCGATTCTCAGAGCTGAGTCCTGCGACAGAGGTTGCGTTCATCTCGCCTCCAGCCCATTGTCTTGTTTATTTGTTACGGTTGGTCTCCAATTAGGAGTTTGAGCCGTTCGGGGCAAGGGCTGTTTCTTCCCATGCGAATGTGCAGTTCCCGCGCCACCGAGCTGTGATGTGGTTGGGGACCCACAGGAGCATCTGCTATTGCAGCAACAGTGCCCGGGGACGAATGCGTTTCAGATGGGCTCAGCTCTTCTTTCCGTGCTCAGGCCGGTGGCCAGCCCAAGACGGTGAGAAAGAGCCACTGGCCGGCCCTTTAGACACGATGTTCCCCTCCTCGGGGACCCGCTGGGACCTGGCTTGGGGTCAGGGGCCTGCCAGGGAGATCCTTACCAGCCTAATGCGTCTCCCAAATATTGAGCCTTGGGAGGACCTTCCAGATGGGGAAGGGGCTCTGCTACAGGCACCAGTGGGTCTGAGCCCAGCCTGGGTGGACACAGGGGCAGGTGGGATTCTCCAACTGGGATCTTTCAGGGAATGACCCAACTGCCATCCCCGGCTTTGCCTGCGGGGTCAGCCCCGGTTGGGATGCTCGTGCAGCTCAAGCCCCGGGGATGCAGTTCAGGGCACCCGCTGCCTACCCCGCAGGGGATGCGGAGCTGACGGTGCCCCGGCACTGCACCTGCAGCCTGTGGATGGCAAGTCCGGTCTGGCCGGTGGCCCCGAGGCAGCGGCGCAGACCCGTCCGGCCGGGTTGCGCATGGAGTCAGTTAGCACATGATCCGCGCCGCAGGGCCAAGGTCTGAGGTCAGTTAGTCACACCCAGGCAGCGGCACTGACTTCACTGCGGGCAGGAGCAGCTCCTCACGTACCGTGCTCCCCAAAGGCAGCACTGACCCGCCGCTCGGGGCCGCGTGCCGATGGTCAGGCCGCTCCGTTATCGGGGCGCAGGCATCACTCCCATTACAACAAATGGCTCCCCAGAGCCCCCCCTTGGCTCTTGCCCCAGCCAAAATAGTTTCTCCCGTCCTAGGGCTGGAGGGGAACTGCTAACGGGGTCCTGCTGGTCCCGACGGGGAAGCTGCAGTGCCGGTTCCCCCCCGGTGCTTGCGGTGCGGGTCTCAGGGCTGGCCCGCTTCCCCTGAGTGCCGGCTGGGTGGGATCGGCTGCTGGCTGAGGTCATTGAAAGCCCTTTCCATCTCCCCAGAGTTTGGGATGTCCGCTGAGCGTGGTGCGACGCGTCCTGGCTCCCAGGAGCTGGGGCGATGGCACAAGCCGGGGGCCGCCTCCAGCCCCAACCCCGAAACCCCAGGGCAGGGCGAAGGATGAGGTTTTTGGAATTTTAGAGTCTTGTCCACGCTTCGGCGGGAGCTGCGTTTCCAGGGAAGGAAGAGTTAATCCCCCGCCCGCCGCTAATGAGCCTTAACTGGGAATGACCTGACACCAGGGAGAAGTGAACCCATTGTCCTCGCCTGCGTTTGACTGTCTTCCAGGGAGACTCATGAAACGCAGAGCCCGGGTGTGAGTTCCCAATTTATGTCAGGAGGCTCTGATTTATTCTATTTATTTATTTTTGCCATCTGGTTGAGGAGGGACGTTGAACGCAAGCGTGAGAAATCCAGATGTGCACAGCTCCTCGCTGCTACACTCGCTGCGCAGGACCTTGTCCCCAGCCCAGCTTCCAGCCCTGCGGAGCCCGACCTGACCCTCCAGCCCCGCTGCCACCCCTCGAGTCCCCGGGGATGGGTTGATGGCACCCCTGGGCACCTGCCACGTCCCCAACGGGGATGAGGTGTGGATATTTTCATGCAGATGGGCTCAGCCTGGATGTCCAGCCCTGGAATTCCAGCATATGAGATGTTAGCCATACATGGTAGCAATAGCCGTGGGGACACCCGGGTGTCCCCAGCCGCGGGTCGCAGTGACCCTGGCAGCCGTCATGGTACAGTGTGTGCTGCAGGACCTGGCCCCGTTGCATGATGCCCGTCCCAAACAGATGGTGCGCTCCCCTCTGAGGCTGCCGCCATGCCCTGCCTCATCCCTGTGTTTCAGAGGGGTTTGTATTGGTTTGAGGACATCTTGTCTGATGGTGCAGGCAGCAAATGGGCCCCGCAAACGGACTGCGATCCTGGGCACCCTCCAGGGCAGTGGCACAGGGGACACCCAGGGTACCTTCCCTGGTGGCAGGATGGGATGATGGAAGAAAGCCACACCGTGCCCAGGGGATCAACTGTGGCATCCAGGGATGTCCCCGGGTGCCTCTGCTGTGGGGCGGGGAAGCCAGTGCCGTTTTGGGGCTCATTCACCCCCACAAAGGGACAGCTGGGCACCACTCCCCCTGCGGTTGCCACTGGCATGGCACGAGGCTGCCGGCGGCAGGAGGCTGCCATGAAACCTTCCGTAGGAGCCAGGGGACACAACCGGGCAGCACGACCCGGCAGGGCAGAGAAAAAGGGGTTTTGGGGGGGACTTGTGAATTTTTGCGATGATTTTTTTGGTCAGGGCTCCTCCGAGACACGAGAGATGATCACACAGGATCTTAGCTCATCCGCTTGCTGTCTCATGCCTGGGAGGTTTGGCCGGAGGCCCGAGGGCTCCGGAGGAGGAGGAGGAAAATTTCATCATCCTGCTCCAACGTCTCCTGTATAATCAGCCTCTTGTTAACCGATACGGCCCCATGCGAGACGTTCGCAGAGGACCGGGGCCCTGGTGGAGCCTTAGGTGGTCTTGGCCCCGGCGAAGCTTTGCTGAGTCTCTCCCAGGGCTGCCTGGGAAGTGGCTGCGATTTTATCTGGCTCCCCCCGCACACGCTCGCTCGCCTCCCTCTGCCTCTTCCCAGCCGGCTTCGGCGTTTTCCCCATACCCCCAAGCACCGCCAGCATTGCCTGAGCGTGGCTTCCTGCACTGCGATGCTCCCCACACCACAATGCTCCCCACACCGTGATTGTCCCCACCCCACGATGTTCCCTGCACCGCGATGATCCCTGCACCATGATGCTCCCCACACTGTGATGGTCCCCACACCATGATGGTCCCCACCCCACGATGTTCCCTGCACCGTGATGCTCCCCACACTGTGATGGTCGCCACACCGTGATGGTCCCCACACTGTGATGCTCCCCACCCCACGATGCTCCCTGCACCGTGATGCTCCCCGCACCCTCCTGGTGCTGTTGAGCACCAGGAGAGTGTCGATTTAAGCATCCCCCAGGGAAATGCCTTCGCAATCAGCCATCCCCGAGGAGATGGGGAGGGAAGAAGGAGCAAGGGGACAGGGGATGGTGACCCCCAGCCCACAGAGATGCTTGGGGGTCTTTGGGGCAGCCCCGAGAGTGTTTTGGGGGAGAAGCAGAGGTGTTCGAGGGCGAGCGCAAAGGGAACCCAGCAAAGAGAAGCCAAATACAGTCCATTTCTGTTGGTTTATTTAAAAAAAAGGGGAAAACAAGTATAAAAATATAAATATTTAAATAGAATTCTAGATATATATTACCACAAATCTTATTATTAATTATTATTAATTATTATTATTAATAACATTATTAAAAGTCAGGTCAGAGCACTTGGTGCATGCTGGGCTTTCTACCAAGGCAATAAATAACCCTCACAGCCCGCTCTGGTGCCAGGAGCGAGCCAGCGCCTCCTGCCACCGGCCTGGGGCCTGTTCCCGTGTCCCCACGTCCCTGCATCCCCGCATCCCCGCGCTGGTGCCGCATTCGGCCATGAGAAGCGCAGCGCTTGGCCACTAGTACATTCAGAGCCCTTCCAATGGGAAAAGCACTTTTCTGAAGGGGAGGGATGGGCTCTCCATGCCGTGCCCATGCAGGGGGGACGATGCTCCCTGGTGGGGCAGCTGCTGGCTCTGTCCCCAGTGGGTGGCCTCATCCGAGACGGCGGGACCCAGCCCCAGCCGCTGCAGCCACCCCAGTACTCTCAGTTCGGCTCCTTGTCAGGGAACCCAGCCCCAAAACATGCAGGGGGAGCATGTCCCCATGTGCCTGCCAGCCACAGCATCCCGGTGTCCTTCATCCCAATCCTTTTTCCCAGGGAAGTGGAGGCTTTCGGATGATGCTCGAGGACGTCCATCAGGTTGCTCTCCATGATGGAGGAGACTGGCCATGGGGGACAGAGTCCGGCCCCTCGCAGCACCCGCAGCTCCCCGCACCCCAGGGGAGGACGGGGACAGCCGAGGCGCATCCCAACCAGCTCGCGCCCCGGCATCACCTCGGGGATGCGCCGCCTCATCCCACTGGATGCCGGCCCCGGCTCTGCTCCGCCCGGGACACACCGGGCTGCAACATTCACCTTTGCAAGGGGCAAATAAATTACCAGAGGGTGGGTGGGGCCAGCGCAGGGTCCGGGGTAATAAATAGGAAAGTGGGAGGTCAGGAGGCAGCGGTGCTTGGGGTCTCACTCGGCGGCGGGGGGACGGCGCGGCTGGACGGCGGGGCAGAGGAGCCGGGGCGGGCGCTCACAAGGGGCTGAGATGAGGTAGGAGGACGCGGGCCGCCTGGGCAATGACCTGCACATACTTCCTGAGCACCTGGCAGCCCTGCTGCTTCTTCTTGAAGGCGCTCTTGCCCTTGGAGCTCTCCCCGTAGCTGACGTCCACCTGGAAGACGTTGTAGTTCTTGCAGAGGAGGCAGGTGAGGTTGGAGATGAGGCCCCGGGTGGTCTTGGTGGTGTTGTGGAGCCGGTCGAGGAGCTCCTTGGCCGTGGGGTTGAGCTCCTCCTGGTCACGCGTGATGTTCCCCAGCGAGGCGTTGAGAAAGGCGAAGAGCTTGTACATGGCCACCATGACCTCCTTCCTCTCACTCGTCCGGTTGACACGGAAAGCAGGGAAGAAGACACCGCTGGGGTTGCAGAGCTTGTCGGTCTCACTGCTGAATGGCTCTCCCTGGCACTTCAGCTGGGAGGAGAGGCAAGTGTCACCCCCATGTCCCCTGTCCCCCCCGGCCACCTTCTGCAGCCGTCCCCACCCCTCTCCCTTCATGCACATGCAAACTGCCCTGGGGGTCCCCGCGGGGACTGGCCATCCCCGAGTGCCACTTACATAGAGGCTGAAGAGGTCCTGGGCGGTGGCGTTGAGCAGCGCAACCTGCCTGCGGGTCTGCTCCTGGACGTTGGAGCGGCACAAGCCATGACCGGGGCAGCCGGAGCCGGGCCCCCGCCGGGCTCGGGCGGGCCCCC